AATGAGAATGAAATCTTTCATCATTATTTCCCAAATTTGTCCAAAGATAAGTACAAACTGAGCAGCTGGTTAAAATAGCAGTAGGCCCTGCTCCAAATCTTTTGACTCAGAATGTTCAGGCAAGGAGCCCAGATCTGTCTGACTCTAAAGCTAAACATTAACCCTTTAGAAGGTGGGCCACATGCTATTCATCTCTGTTCTCTCAGATGCACAAACTGGGCCATGACAATCTCTAATCTTTCTATAATGAAGCAGTATGTAAGGCAAATTCACAAGAGTGTCAAGCGGGTCACAGAAGGAAGAGTATGGCATCAAGATCTCGTGGGGGAGGCGATGTGCTACTTAATTCTATGACTTCTGGTGAGAGGATTACAGAAAGGCAAGAGAAAAGGAAGGCAATTCACTCACAGTTTTTTCTTCTTTAGGCATATGCCCTCCTTCTGACACCCACAGAGGAAAATCAATCCATATTTTCTGCAAATCTCAGCACGAAGCAAGAGGCTTTTCAAGAAGCTCTTGCAGGTTATTTGGAACAGGGCCCTTGAAACCCAGTATTTTTCAAAGGTAACAGTCAATAAAATTTTCACAATGATCTTTTTCATCATGCATGTAGAACTGGTATTTTATACGATAAATACTCTACAGAATATTTTTATACTCTACAGAGAGCATTACCGAAATTTTTGGGGATGTATTATATCTTTAAAGAGACAGATATCATAATTCTCTGACCATTTCAGCTTTAACTGAGTATCTTTAGGATATTTCCACCTAAATAAGTTTTCCTAGAAAAATGTCTTTTTATCTAAAGCATTCTCACTGGCATGGTCTTCAGAAGTAGTTTGGAAAGTCAAATGACATTAAAGTTAATTTAATTTTATAATCTTTAGCTCATCCAAATGGATAATTTTTCAGATCAGATATGATCATTTTTTTGTTTTACTTTAAATATGTTGCCACTATGTGTTGACATAACTATGCCAACCAAATGAAGACTAAAACACTGTGAGATCATGAATACTGAAAAACCAGAAGTTCTCCTTGACACAGAAACCTGCATGACAAGTGAGCCCAGGATCTACAGAAGAATATCCTCAGATAAGGCAAGACAGCACATCTTAAATCTGAACAATTTAGATCCCTTCAGTGAGGAACAAACCAAAGTGTGTTGTTTAGGAACTCAATAAAAAAGCTTGAGAGAAAGACCAAGGACATTACACTTCTGGGTAGGGGAACATGTTTAGTCTTGGAAAGGATGATCCCACTAAACTGAGACTCTATTTCACAGCTCTGACTGATTGGCCACTTGACTTAACTGGTCATATTCATACCTGAGAATTTGAACAACAGATAGAAGATATTCATCCATTTCAAAATTCTTAAACAGTGCCAAGTTGATATGGGTAAAGAAAAAACAAAAGCATATGCAAACCACTAACAATATAGTCAAGAAACCAGAACCCTCCTGCCCATGAAAACAGATACGTAGATCAGGCAATAAAAGAAAAGAGCTAGATGACAGACAGCATGGAGATGAGAGAAGCCTTGGCTCCTGACTGCCCTCTTCCATGGCTACACTCCCCTTTCTGTTATTCTTTTTAAAGAAGGGCCTCACTCTGTAGCCCAGGTTGTCCTGGAACTCACAACTGAGCCCAGATGGGCCCTGAATTTACAGTGATTTTCCTGCCTCAGTCCTCAGAGTGCTAGGATTACATGAAAGAGCCATCATGCATGAATCCTTTAAAGCCCTTGTTACTATTTCCAGGCCCTACAGCACGTGGTCTGGCCTTTTTCTTTTGTGTATATAAATACTTGCATTTATGGGTATCTACTACCAGAAACAGGCTGGGGGCATGACTGGAAGCCAGGGAGCAGTGAGGAAGTGAGCTTGTCAAGAGCAGTTGGGTACACCAGTACTGTTTCCAGCATTGCAAGCTATTTCAAGGGAGGAGGACAAATGAAAGCCACATCAGCTTAGCCTCAGAACAATCAGCAGCACAAACTCCTTGAGACGCAAGTCAAGGCTTGCAATATGGTAGTTTCCTCTATTCCACATTTTGGTTCTGAAGTTTTAAAGAAACTACCACAGCACAAGAATTTGATGACTCAAGAGCAAATGAACTACTAAACGTGAGCTGGTAGCTGATAAAATATAGATCACAAAGTAAACTCACACTTTGAAATACCACACAATTTCCCAGTTCATTTTCCCAGTTCTGATCCTCATTTATTAATTTTCATCAAAGCATAAAGTCATATCAAGTTTTAGTTACTTTAGGAACATGGCACCTCTCATAACATTTGATAAAAGAGCATCAATAATTAATGAGTGAAAGTAGAACATCGAAGATTCCTTGGCACATGTTTTCATAGTACTCAATAATGGAAAGGGAAAACATGCATACCTCTGAATAAATGAAAGAAATGGATGTTCTGATCATAATTAGCTTGACAACAGGGCAAAATCTAATCTTCAAGGACTTAGATGGCTAAAAATGAAGAGCTATCAGATTTCACAACAATCTAGGCTTCAGATAGAATAAACTTCCTATTTCATCTGTAGTTTTTCTTACACATTCGTCTCGAAAGAGGGCATTACATGTAAAAATAAACAGCTGTTATTCTAGTAACTGATACACAGTATCGGTTCAACATTGTGCTCTTAATTCTTGAGATTCTTCTTCTTCCATCCTCAAAATGCCAGTTCCTTGTTTTCCCTTCAGTGGTACAAATGTACATAATTTCTCAAAATCTATCTCTTTCTTATAGATTTCCACACTTATACTAATGCTTTCATTCCCTAGCCACTCAAATGCCATTGATGCAGCATCCTGAGTGTGTTTGATAGAATCTGTTCTACACATTGAAAAGTCACAAAGCCTACTTACAAATAAACGGTTGCTGAATACGGTCTGGGAAATTCAGTGTTGCTGTCATTTGGGAGGCTTATAAGAAAGGCAAAGCCCCAGGCCCACCAATGCTGGCTGAATGTGGGCTGGTATTTTGTCAGGTTTCTCAGGCAACCCTTGGGGTGTGAGAAGCACTGCCAGATATTTTGAATAACACAAGTTGAGGTGAGTTTGACTATAGCTAAGCTAAGGGCGAATCTCTCTCTTTCTTTCTTTTTCTTTTCTTTTCTTAAGAATGGCTTTTAAGTTATGCCTGCAAAGACAAAGAATTACCATTTACTTTAAGTAAGGCCTTTGGAAAGTAGTATGTACAGTGAAAACACTAAACTTTCAAATCTGTGCTTTCTAGATGTGATAGCACTCACCTGTAATCTCAGCACTCTGAAGAATGAGGCCAGGAGACCACAAGTTAGGGGCCAGTCTATGTTTTACAGTAATTCAAATCTAGTATAGGCTATGTATTAAGACCTTGTTCCAAAAAGAAAACCAAAAAAGGGGGGGAAAGTGAGAAGATCTCCATGAGTCCAAAGGACAGCCTGGGCTATGGAGTGATCTCCTGTCTCAAAAGACAAAACAAGTCTTGAGATAAATCAAAGCTCCATTATTGATGTGTTTGAAGAACCTGAGCAAGTTATTTAAACACACTGAGTCTTTTGTCCTATTCATTTGAGTTTAAAGGATGATTAATTTTTCATTCTTTTGTTTTGTGTTATAGCATTGTAGACTCACATACAGCTAAGAAAAAATACAGAGAGAATGTGTGTTCCCTTTCCTAGCTTCCCTAATTATAACACCTTGCATGACTATACTACAATAGCACAATAGTGAAATCTATTCTCCATCTCTGTAAATTTGTCATTCAGAAATATTATATAAATAAAACCAGAGTTGGTATTCTGAGAGGGGCATTTATCTCTTAACATAATTCTTTGAGATCAAATCAAATTGTGATATATACCAGTCAGTCATTTCTTATTCTAAGATATGAATGTACATTTTAACAATTCACATTTTTGTTTCATTTTGTAGAGCTTCAGACTAAACTCACAGCCTTACCCATCCTAAGAATGCACTCTTACCAATAACTATGCTTCGCAAATCACAAAGTTAATTTCACATATACGGACTGCAAGTCAAAGTCAGTAGCTTGCCTTTACATCCTTTTCATAGGGTCTTCTGTGAGCAAATGTTGTTAGTTTTGATGAGGTTCATGCCATTAATGCTTTTATTGACCATGCTTCTAGTATAACATCTAAAACATTTTCATCTGATCCTAGGTTCTGAAAATTTCCTTCTATAATTGTTCCTAAAAGTTTAACAGTTTACTATCACATGTAATTCTATGGTCCATATTGAGTTAGTAGTTGTATAACCTATGAGGTTAGATTGACTTGACTTTTTTTTGCCGGGGGGCGGGGGGTGTTGCTCTTTACTTGGACCATCAATTTTACTGACTAGACAGATGTTTACAGTTGTTAAGCCTCCAGTCATTATGAGCTCCCATTAATCTGAACCAGGTACATCAGTTGTAAGAGGTATTCTAAGAGCAATTTTGCAAGTGAAAACCAAGTTATTGTATTGAATGCAAGTAGCAAATTTAAGAAACTACAATTGCATAGATATCAAAATGTTTTATCTCTACCAGGTCACATTTGATGGAGCATTGGCCTGTGAATCAATGAGACAATAGGATTGTAGAGTCTAAAGAATAAGAAGTGATGCTAGAATACCATGCCAGGATACTACCAATCCAGTTGTAAAGCCCTTCCTCCTCATGCAGTGATACTGGTTTGCTTCTTAGAATAACGTTGGCATCTTCCTCTCTCAGCCTCTGCTATGGAATAATCCTTCTGACCATTATGAATATATATTACTCTCATTGGTTAATGAAGAAATGACTGTCCAGTCATCAGCTAGGAAGTATGGGTGGGACAGCCAAACTGAGAATACTTGGAGGAAGGAGGATGGAGTCAGTGGAGTTGCCAAGGAGACACAGAGGGAGCAAGGCATGCTGGAGGACAGGTTAAGCCAGGAGCCAAGTGGCAAAACATAGACTAATAGAAAAGGGTTAATTTAACTTGTAAGAGCTAGGCCCCTCCTTCCTGTGGTGCTCTAGAGACCAGGGCCAATCCTCATGTGAGGCAGATCAAAATCAAGACAGGCGTGGTGAAGCGGTTGGTCAAAGAAAAAGTGATGTATGAGAAAGAAGCAAAGCAAGAAGAAAAGAGAGAAAAAATGAAGGCTGAAGATGGTGAAACCTACGCCATTAAGAAACAAGCAGAAATCCTGCAAGAGTCGCAGATGATGAGCCCAGATTGCCAGCGCCGGTTAGAGGTTGTATATACCGATCTTCAGCAGATATTAGAAAGTGAAAAAAACTTGGAAGAACCTGAGGATTATAAAGAGGCATGTGCAGTTCTGGATTCAGTGAAGTTAGAGGCCTGAAGTTTTGCTGTACAGGGTGTTTTTTGCATTAAATCCTGGTGTCCACTCTACAATTCATTATTTTTGGACACTTCTGTGTTTAGTAATATGAAAATGTGGTTCTTTTTATGCAGTTGCATATATTTTTCTTTGCATAACTTGATGTGTCAAATAAATGAGTTCATCTAAAAAATTGTAAGAGCTAGTTAGTAATAAGCCTGAGCTATTGCTTCCACAAGCCTCTTCCTTTAGAATAGATTTGAAGGTACAATAGGAGTGTTTCCAGATTCTCCATTTGAGTCTGGCTCGTGTGAGTTATTTGGTCCAGCACATATATCGATTGTCTACTTTTTCACACATTCTCAATTGCTTTTATCTGTTGTTTGATTCTCGTTTGTTTACTGAGACATGTAGCACAGGTTGACCTTGAACTCGTGATCCTCCTGTCAAAGCCTCAAGAGTATACCACCATACTGGCTTGCTAATTACTTTGATGTAATAAATAATATATTAGTTTATTACATTGTGGTTATTTATGACTTAAAACATCAGGTGGTGCTTGGAGTAAATTCTCAAAACCCACTTCATTCAAGACCCCATGCCCATCACTTCTCCTTTGACACAAATAACTTTTAACAATATATGTGTATGCTTTAGTTCTCTTTCTGTATCTATGCATATCTCTAATTTAAGTTGTACCTTGTGAAATCAAATTACATTTTTCCCTTTGTATTTTTCTCATTTTAAATTTCCTACTATGTGATCAGTTAAATATTTTTTTTTACTAATTTTTGAATTTACTAGAAACATTTTCACCAGGGACATGAAAAGAGATATTAATCATTCTTTAACTGAAACACATTTATAATGGGGATTCGCTTTTCCTTTAAATGCTTCAGATATTTATTTAAGAGACTGGGTGCTGCCTTGGATCTACCTATCTATACATACAGACTATGAAAGACAGAAAGAGGGAGTGCACCATCATTAATATTTTCAATAGTTACTCACTTATTCAATCATTTCTAGGAGTCTAAAACAGATCACAAATTATAATAAGGATCACAGCCTTCCCTGCATTAACATTGCTGCAAGAAGAATATATATATTCATATTATTGCATATATGTATGTGTGTATATGTATATGTACATATATACATATACACACACACATATATGCAATAACAATTATTTTTTAAAAAGAGGTCATGAATTTGAAATAAAGTGGGGAGGAATATATGGGAGGGTTTTGAGGGAGGAAAGGGAGAAGAAAAATATTGTAATCTCTCCCCCACTCCCACCCATCAATGCCTGAGGCAGGTGGGACAGCTGGCCCTGAGGTCAGAAGGGAGGGAGAGCCGCCCCTGCCTGAGAACAGCTGCAACACTTGGGAAAGCAGGCCTTGCACCTTGTGTGGGCCACAAGTTAGAGCCAACTCCATTGGGAGAGGTGTGGGTGAGCCAGCCCCAACACTGTGAGCATGGAAAAGCTGTCCCCATTACTCACCTGTCATATGGCATGGGTGGGAGAGAGACCCCTACATCCCCACCCCCATCAATCAATGCCTGAGGCAGCTGGTGGGAGAGCTGGTCCCGAGGTCATAAGAGCAGGAGAGCTAGCTAGCCCTGACTCTCATCTGCTGCAGCACTCCGGAGAGTAGTGGCCCCTCCACGACTCCTGGGCAGCACAGCAGAGCTGACCCTGAAGGTGTAGGTGTGTGAGACCTGACCCTAAGGACAAGAAACCAGGAGAACTGGCCCCACCCCTTGGTCATCACTGCAAAGGGTGAACCCACCAAAGCAATGCAGGACAGCCCTACCCTGGAGGTGAGGACAAGGAAAAGCTGGCAGGCTGACCAATCCGGCAACTACCCAGGCCCAGAACCAGGGTTATGGGTTGGCCCATCCCAATATCCATCCCCATCTGTGATCTGCTGGAGCGTGTGAAGGGACTGGTCCTGCAGACCCAAAGCTGCAGGATTTCCACAACACTGGGCAACAGCAGGATAATCAAAAGGAGTGCCAGTGAGGGCCCAGCATCAATAGTGTAGCAGAAACCAGAGGCCTCGAACCAGACCAATGACTCTGCAATGAACACTTGCAAGTAAAGATGTATGGATAAAACAATTTACTGCATGACTCACTGTGTCATACTACAGTTTCCATGAGAGATTTTCCCCTTTTTTCCTTTCCTTTTTTCCTTTTTCTCCTAAATTTTATCAGGGAGGGTGGCTGCAAGCACAGAGGGTGGATATGTAGGGACAGGAAATGAATGGGATCGAGGTGCATGATGTGAAAGACACAAAGAATAAATAAATAGAAAGTTAAAAAAAAGAAAAATGTTGTAATCTAAGTACAATCTCAAAATAATTCTATATGGGTAACCTAATCATATGCTATATGTGTGTATTTTTACATGTATTTGTGTATATTTAAAGTAGGAAAATACAGTGTAGAGATTAGAGACTGGATCCAACCAAAGCTACTGCCTGAAGATCCTTAGGGCAGTGATATTCTTCACACTGACATCTATGCTTTACAGCTTAACATAAGGACCTTAGAACCACGTTTAATGCTCTGTATGTCTTGAAAGGTCTTAAATTCTCTCTGTAAATTGGCAAAACTCTGTCACTGCTTTGCCTTGGCAACAATGATACAGAGCCTAACTGTGAGCAAGAAGAGCAAGGGGAAGAAGAAACAGAGACTGAGGTGGAACAAAGACATTAGAGATGATGCTTAATTATAACATCTAAAGATGGTGTGCACTCTCATTTTAGAAAACATACATCAACTTGTATATGGTTAACTTCCTTATCCTTCTGGGTCGTTCTTTTTTTCCTTTTACTTCAGTTCCAGTAGTCTGATGAAGGGCTGAAATAGGTCTGAGGGAGATTTGTTTTTAACTACGAAAGCCAGCACCCATGTGTTTTTTTCAAAACAGCACCATTTTAATGATGTTTATAATTCCTTTTAAAATATTAGAGTATCTTCTTGGTGATTAATAATTCAGAATACAATAAAACAAACCAAACAAATGGCCAAGTGTAAGAATGCGGCATAAGAAATAAGTCTGAAGATAATGTAATGTCTGTCCAAATAAAGAAAAGCAACACAGGCGTCAGAGGCAAAGCACTGGGGTGTATATTTAAAGACCTAGTGTCTAGTCGGGAATGGCAGTAGACATTTTTCCCCTAGAAAAACCTAATTATATTGCTATTAAATCATTTGTCTGATGTCTTATTGAGAATTGCACCCTAGCAGCTGCCTTCTATCCTGCTATTTCTACAACTGACTAGTTCTTTTTTCTTTCTACCACCCTGAGAGATGGATTTAATCAGTGCCAATTCATGGTTCCCTTTCCAACCCCATCCACTCAAGCCTCTATAGCTTTTCACCTGAAGACTCCACAATCTAAGGACAGAACAAGGATGCTCTCCATCTGATTCATCGAAGGCCATGGAAACAATTTTCTAAATGATATGCTTTTGCTTTCAGCCACTAATTACATTTCAAAAAAGGCAGGGATAAAAATACCTCTGGCCTAGAAGGTTTCTGTGGAGTTCATTTCTTCCCAATAATATATTCCTTAGATTCTGAGTAAAGGAAATGACTATCCCACCTGGAGTCCTTGAATACAAGCTTTAAAAAGTAGAACTGGTTAACAGAAAGTGAATGAAGTTTTACATGGCCAGGGCTTCTGGGACAGGTGGCATTCCACCCTCTGAAGTATAAGTTCTTCACACACATCCACATGCATGCATTTTCACAAATAAAAGTCGTGAGATCTTTCTCAAAGATCTTAAAAAGTTAAATGCCGGGAAACTTGCAAGATGAAGGGACGAAGGTGACATTTCAAGGTTATCTCCAGATCTGTGATAATGTATTTATTACATTGAGTTGATCCATCACTGTCAATGCTCCAAATTAAAGAATATTTAACAGTGAAAAACTAGAACATCTTCCATCTTAATCAAGCATTTTAATCAAGAATTAAGGAGCTGTGTGATGTGTGTGTCACTAATGGATTACGAATGTGAAGCCGACACTTAGCTCTCACCCTTCCTCACTGCTCCTTCTGATCTCTGTTTACTGATCATGAACAGAAATCACTAAGGAACAAATTGTTCCTGGAAACACAGACTATTATGAACTGACCCCACAGGGTGTTTACTCTGAGGACGGTCGATGATTGTCATTCAACTAAACCCCTAGAAGTTTAGGTGTTTCTCGGACACAAGGGAAACAGAAGAAATCATGGAACATCACTACTCTTCCCCTTTTCCCATTACCTGCAGCTGAGTTTATCTTTTACTGTCTTTAACAGAGGTTTAACGGAGATGAAATGATAAAAAATCATCTTCAAATGTGACTGTCTTTATAAAACACACACATACATTGCATCTATCCATCAACTCTTTTGGAGTAATCTAGCTCCAAAGAAGATCCTGGTACTATTAGAAATGGCAAAGGGAAAAGGCACTGACTGACATACTGTGAAAATGTCCACAGTGGCAATGATAGCTGCCTATATGAATATCTGATGACTTAAAAAAAACTAATAATGGAAAATAAAGGAAACAGTTTTAAAAATGCACTGTTCTGGGGTGTGGTTCAGTGACAGGGTGCTTGACCTTCTACTCTTGAAGGTTCTACCCTGCCACAGAGGAAAAGGTTTAAAAAGAAGATAGAGGTCAAAACTGAAAGAATAGAAAATATATGCTGAATAAACATGGATACTTGAGTGTGAATGCCCGGTACCCATAGAAAGCTGGTGAGGTAGCATAGGCCTGTAGCCAGAGTACTGAAGAGAGGCAGATCCCAGAGGTTCACCAATCATTGAGAGACCCTGTCTCAAAAATGATGGTGGGAATGGGGGGTGGGCTGGGGGGAAGGGGGGCAGGAAGGGGGATAACAAGGGAATCTGTGGCTGTTATGTAGAACTGAATGGTATTGTAAAATAAAATTAAAAAAAATGATGGTGGAGAGCAGTTGAGGAAGAAATCAAGTGTCTATTTCTGGCCTTCACAGGTACACACTCTTGCACAGGCATATGCCACAGAAAAAAAGAAAGAAACCTACAAGGATGAACCACGGTGATCAATTCTCTTCTATCTTGGAGTTAGATACATAAAAAATACAAGAAACTTAATATTCA